TTTTTTGTGGTTTTAGAATTAGACTCATTTGGATAACTTTTGGTGTCTCTTAATCTAGGACATTGCCCTTGCTGAATTGGCTCCAACTCACCCAATAAGGCTGGGACTTGCACTTAACTTCTCCGTGTTTTATTATGAAATCCTTAACTCTCCTGATCGAGCTTGCAATCTTGCCAAGCAGGTATTTATGTTCAGTTGCTTTTCCCTTTTTTTTTACGTGCTGCCGCTTATAGTTAATGCTTGCCATGATCTTTCTCACTACAAATGTTATCATGTCTACCATGTACAGTTCTGAGGTCAATGTCTTTTTTATTAGAAAGTTCTTGAAGATGGCAAGCTGGTTATGAATAAATGTTGGTTATTTGATTGTTGTAGTAAATGATAATTGTGTGATACTCCCTTACACAGTACCACCTTTATCTTGTGATTATGCTCTGGGATTGAATTATATGGAAGATAATATTATTATGTTGCGTCTAGGCAAATAATTATTTGTTTTTGATAGTCAATTCAGGTATGAGTATCTTTGAGTTAGAGGATATTGTTATTGTTAAGCTTAGCGCCTCAGCTGTACTCAACTACAATCCTGAATGTGAGGTCCAGTTGCATAACACTTGGAGCCAGTTCTCTCTACCCACAGTTGCCCCGGCTTCCACTTTCCAAATAAACTATTAAAAAAGCCTTGTTGGTGTAGCTTAATATTCTTAAGCACATTTATGCCACTTGACATCCTTGGTGAATCCACTAGAAAATGGTAGCTGTCTGCTATTGGCACGATTCACTTGATGAAACTGATATCTTGTGTCTATGCCCTTTTATTGTATTGTATTTGGATGTGTAGAATGATATGTGTCTTTTTCACTTACTTTTCATATTATTCTACTTGGCAGGCTTTCGATGAAGCTATCTCTGAGCTTGATACATTAGGTGAGGAGTCGTATAAAGATAGTACATTGATCATGCAACTTCTCCGAGACAATCTCACACTCTGGACTTCTGACATTACGGTATGGTCCTCCTTCCTTCTTTTTCCTATTCCGCCCTTTCTTTCCCTCATGGCATTTATTTAGAAAGAATAGGTGGATTGACTTAATTGTATCTCACTATTAAGGTACATTGATCAAATTGCACGCTAATAATGCTTTGTTATGGAGGCATCTTTCCATTGGTAGTTTGTTTGTTCCATCTATATATCCAATGGCTTTAGTCTTACAGATTTATGTGGTGACTGGAAATCTTTACCATGTCAGAGCTGACACCAGTGTTGCTCTGTTGATTGGGCAAAATCAATTAGTATTTTGGAACTGACCTAATACTGGGTCGTCTGTACATGGCTGCCCGAGTTATTTTTAGTTATTCTGTTGTTTAATGTGTATGTTGTACGTTTTAGGACGATGCTGGGGATGAGATCAAGGAAGCATCAAAACGTGATTCGGGAGAGGGGGGACAGCAGTGATGAGTTCAATTCATAGGACATGTGCTTTGTACTTTTTCTGTTTATGAGATTTATATAGATGCCATGTGGGTTGTTGTAGTTGGATTTGTTAATGGATCAATTATCTTGAGTGTTGATGGCACTTGGGATTGAAATGTTTCAGTGGATTATATTTGAGCTTTATTTGATGAGATTAATTTGGTTTGACGTCCGTGCCAGCTGCGCGCTGCAGTAATTCGTCTCTCTCTCGCTCCAATTCAAGTTTTTATGATAGAAAGTGGTTGAATTGTAATCCATATGATGTTCAGCAGCCGATAGTGGGTTTCAAAGTGACAAGATTTTAGGCTGTTGAAAGCGTGTTTCTCGGCTGGTTTCTAGTTAAGAGAGTTTACCGGTCTAGAGCTGAGCAGAATTGAGAATCGGACAAAAGATATCTCATTTTGCATGCCGATTGGACGCTTGAGATTTAAAGAATATATATATATATATATATATATATATATGCTTGGGTGACCTATTTGCTTTAGACAGTCACAGGCCAGTGCATACTATTTCCCATCTGGGGATATGTTATCATTCTTATATTTCATATATACTAATGAGCTCGTAAATGCATTATTTTCATAATATGATACCGTAACCAGTATAATTATTGTACGATTGAAGAATGTCACGGACTTATTAATATTATGTTGCCAAATTATATATGGTTAATTATTATGTATAATTTACCCATCAGATAAAAATAAAAAATCTTCTTAATCAATACTCTTAAAAAAATTATATGCTGACTATACTAATAATTAATTATAATAAATATATTTTAGAAGCCCGAGACACGTGGATATATACATGCCATCTATATATACAATCTTTTTTTTTATTAAAAAAAGAAAAACAAAAAGTGGGGTCTTATATTGGAATCTTAGTCAGATTAATATGATGTTTTTTATGGCCACGTAAGCAACTCATCTAAAGCTGACTTTTGTTGCTGATGAATATAATTTATTTTAAGATTAAATTAATATTTAATTTGATAATGGATGACGTAAAATAAACCTTTTCTTATTTTATTTTGGAGAAAACGACACCGTTTACCTACTTTTCCCAATACTCGTTGTTCCGTCGCGCTCGGTTTGTTGCCTCATTCGCTGATGCAGGCCCAGATCCAGACGGTGTAAACGAATTTCGAATGGAATTTGCTTAAACCCCAACTTGCCCAGAAAAGGGAAGCGCCATTAAAACCCCCACTCATCTTCTTCGCCATTTTTTTTTTTTTTTGCTGTCTTTAAGCGTCCACCTTTCTCTGCTCTGCCCAAACACTCTTTCTCACTTGCTCTCCCATGGTTTCCACTACTTCCGTCATCGCCTGGTTTATCCCTCTTTCGCTCTCTTTGAACTAATGCTTGCTTGCACAGACAGTCTGGCACGATTTTCTCATGTCTTTTGTTTTTATGCAATTCACTTTCAGGGGCGCAGGAGAAGACGGCCAGCTGGGAATCGGAAACAACGAAGAGAAAGAATGGCTTTGCGTCGTCAAAGCTCTCGAGCCCTATAATGTTCGTTCTGTGGTCGCCGGTAGTCGCAACTCCCTCGCTATCTGCGATGACGGCAAGGTCCCTTCTCCTATTCAGAACTCCGATGTTATCTCCCGTAGAACATATAATATATAGCATATGTACAAGTATTTGTCGCTTATTGTCTGCGTATGGGTTTGCTTGAACTGTTCTGTGGATGCTTTGACATGGTTATCAGCTGTTCACGTGGGGGTGGAACCAGAGAGGGACCTTAGGTCACCCACCGGAAACCAAAACGGAGAACGTTCCTAGTCAGGTTAAGGCTCTTACAAATGTCAAAATTGTTCAGGTACTTCTCTAACTGTACATTGTCTCTTCTTCTCTCTCTCTCTCTCTCTCTCTCTTCCCAATACTGGATTGATGGTGTACGAGTCAATTTTTTTGTTAAAAAACATTTTTGGATTGTTGATTTTAGGCGGCTATTGGTGGCTGGCACTGTTTGGCTGTTGATGATCAAGGCAGAGCTTATGCCTGGGGTATGTTATCAGTTGTCGGTTTGATTTTGCCTATTCCTTCTGGTAACTTCGTAAATAATGGACTGTTACTGTAAGGAGTTTAAGGCTGTAAAATCTGTGTTTGTGTAATGCAGGCGGGAATGAGTATGGGCAATGTGGGGAAGAACCTGAGAGGAAAGATGACACAGGAAGGCCTTTGAGAAGGGACATTGTGATTCCTCAACGATGTGCCCCGAGGCTTGTAGTTCGCCAGGTGATTCACTCAAATTAATTGCTATATTTAGCTGATTTTGAATAATTTATCCAAGTTCTCTTGCTTCTCCATTACCTATGGTTGGGAGGGGGTGGGTGTTTCTACGTTCTCAGTGATCCAGTGGATTCACACTGGATTAACAGTGAACTATATATCTATCTAAGTTCTGTTGCTTCTGGATTTACAGTGACCTATGGTAATACCCATATGGGGTTGCTTAGGCAAGTATATGCTCAAGTTATCTTTTGAGACTTCCGTCAGCCAAGCTGCTTTCTATTTTCTCTCCAGCTTCTGAAATTGGTTGTGTTTCCCCAAACAGAGAAACGTTCAGACTGAGATGATCTTTCTATATTTAGTATAAGAAGCAGAATTTGGTATTTCAGTAATCTGTTACCTGACCAATAATTGTTGGAACTGGGTTGGAACACCAAGTGGCTTTAGATTATGGGGTTCTCGCTTACCCAGACTTGAGGAAAAAAAATTTCTACAGATACTGACAGGATTATTTTATCGGGCAATTAAGATACTCTGTACATTCCATTAGTTATATATCAATCTTCCAACGAACGTACTCTTTAAACACATATTCTTTGTTGCTTAAACAAGGAGAAATCTTCATCCAACCTGCACTCAGGCGTTGGAATTTTTTTATTTTATTTGTTTTAATTATTTTCTTTTGGAAATATAGCAGCTGATATCCATGTTATGATTCAACAAGTATATTGTTTGGGTGGAAGGTAAGTTAAAATGGTAATCCTCATGAATGATACTACTGTCCCAGAACTGTTGTACATACAGTGGTTGTATGTCTAAATGCAAAACCTTTGTGCTTTCTACTTCCAACTTTCCTTTATGTTTAGCAAAGTTGCAGTTGTCAGCAATTAAAAATTTAGTTCTGCCCTATAGTCATCTTTTGCATGCCTTATTATATATTACCCTTCAGTTGGAAAACTTCCTATAGAAAACTCTTGCCTTTGTTTAGATAATTTGATGTTTTATCAAAATTTTATGGCTGAAGTGTTTAATCATGTGAGACAATGTGTCTTACAAGTGTTCTTGATCACCTGTCTTAAATTGTTTGGCTGCTTGAGATCCTTAGCTCTCTTGTGAATTTCTTCAACTATGTTATCCAGGACTGATGGGTGATATCTTCCTGACATAAAATGTTTGGGCATTGTTTGGTATACTTTTTGTTCACTGTCACTGTTAAAGTATGGAATCTATTCTCCTTAATGCATGATACTTATGAAATCGTTATTTCTCTATGAAGTTAAAATGTTAGTTTCGTTTGTGATTTTTCTTTTTCCTTCCATGCATAAATCATTCATTCAAAGTCTTGGTTACAAGATTTTCGGGTTGGCATGCATATAAATTTCCAGCAACCGTATATTGTGATAAAAATTTCTGGTATGGCTTGACAAGGATTAGAAGTAATATCTCTTAGTCAATTGTATGATAGGTGGCTGCAGGAGGTACTCACTCTGTGGTGCTCACACGTGAAGGGCATGTATGGACCTGGGGTCAGCCATGGCCTCCTGGAGACATGTATTGTTCACTTGATTTTCTTCCCCAAATATTTTCTCATGCTAGTCTGTCTACTTGAACCAATACTGTTAGTTATTTCATATTTGCAGTCAATATCAATGTTAATTAGCTTTTCTGATTGTAGAAAACAAATATCTGTTCCTGTACGAGTACAAGGTCTTGAAAGTGTTAAGATAATTACTGTTGGAGCATTTCATAATTTGGCTCTCCAAGATGATGGTGCTTTATGGGCATGGGGTAATAATGAATACGGACAACTTGGAACTGGTGATACACAGCCAAGATCACAGCCTATTCAAGTTCAAGGGCTCTCTGATCTTACTCTGGTGGGTATTTACATTGGCTATTATTGTGCATGTACGCACATCAAAAGAATTCAATATTAGTTTTTATCTCTTCATCTAGACTGCTAAGAAGCTGATTATAGTTTATTTCTTGTGGTATATTGATCTTGGATGTGAACCCGCATGCATTCACAATAAGAAAAGTGTTTGGGTGGAGTCCTTTTGTTGATAGCATCCAAAGGGTTGAATTTCTTTTGGATTTGGTGCTCTCAAAACTTGGCATGCTTTTTGCCTCTCATATTAACAAATTGCAATATGACATTTTATTAGTCTATTTTTATCATGTAGAAAACTGTTGAACTTCTTCCAATATAAGGCTGAGGGCATGATTGTCTTTTCCTATTATGATCATTATATTTACTCTGATGTTGTCTAGAAACTGAAAAAAACAAGGTCAAATTTGTAATTTTGTTTGTATGCGATATATCTTAAATAAGATATGTGGTGAGAGGATTAAAGATGTGACAGTTACTGCAGAGGTTGGATAAACAAAGAAATGTGATTTTTTTCTCTTGTGTTGCCTCTATTATTTTGAACATTAATATTTCAGGTATTTTGTACATTTTATTGATAGATTGAGCTTTCATTTCGGCTATTTCTATTGGTTTAGCCATTTATTACTACCACATAGTGGATGCAGTATTTATTCTGAGTAAATGCTTAATACTTCCGACAATAAAGTTGTAGAACTATATGCTTACTAGTCCATGATTTAAGTAATTCTGATTGGCATGCTTCCTGTGCTCCAGGTTGATATTGCTGCAGGAGGATGGCATTCGACTGCTCTGACTGATACAGGAGAGGTACTTATAATCTTATATTTGTCTGCGTGATTCCATATTTTGGTAGATTTACTTTTACTTTGATAGTCCCTTGGTCGTGACAATTTTTGTTTCATGTGCTCTTTTGTGAAGTTTCAATTTCTCAGCAGTAATTGCACGAGTCTAAATTGTAAAGTTAATATTTGAAGTATATGCCAATTTCTCACATGCCAATTTTTGCCATCAGGGTGCTTGTAAAAAAGAATATATTCTGTCAGAGTGCAGAAATTTCCTTGGTATCACAATGTCACTCATTTATTCAGGTTTTCCTTTGCTAATTGGTGTTTTTTTAGTGGATGACTAGTTCATTTATTTATAGAATCTTATATCTGCAACTCTTTTTTTTTTTTAATTCTCTTCTCACCACTCACATATACAATGTCAGGCATGCTTCAAATATTTTCACTTTTACCAGTGGATACCTCCCACGTGAACATATCTCATCTGATTTGTTTATCTTTAATGCTGTTAGGTTGCTAAAAAAGCCCTCTGAAAGTAAAGGATGACAGAATTTTTTTCTGAAACCTCGAACTTGCTATAATTTCTTATGTGTTTGGTTTCCTCCTCTGGGCAATCGTAAACGCTTATACTAGCATTAGATGAAACATCTCCTAATTCCAATTGAAGAAAATGCAAAAGTATTTGATTTAACTTCTGAAGAGTATGGTAACCTGGCTGGTAGCAGAAGCAAATCTTTGTTCAACAATATTCAGATTGAATGAACAGCTATTGCCAATTGCTGAGCCATGTTTGAAAAAATATATATTTTCCTTTTCTAGTTCCATGTGTTAAGTTTCCTCCTCATGAAACATCTCCTACTTCCAATTGGAGAAAATGAAAACATATTTGATTTTAACTTCTGGACGGTATGCAGCCGGCTGGTTGCAGAAGTAATATTCAGATTGAATAATAATCACAACTGCTAGTGCCAATTACAGAGCCATATTTGGAAAAAAAAATATATATGTGGAAACTATCTTGGACTCTTGGAATGGGAATTACATTCGACATTTTTCTTTCTTTAGGTGTATGGTTGGGGAAGAGGGGAACATGGGAGGCTTGGGTTTGGTGATAATGACAAGAGCAGTAAAATGGTGCCTCAAAAGGTTAATCTCTTAGCTGGCGAGGACATTGTTCAGGTATTATCTCACAACAATTCTTTGTAAGCTCTAACTATATGCTTTGTTGGATACGCGAAAAATTGTGGGTTTTGGATGATTATTACATGTGCCCTACCTCCTTCAGTTGGACTGAAAACTTCATAGATTACCTTTCTGTGATGGAGAAAGTACACGAATAAAAATTTGTGCTTTTTTAATCTGATGAAATTTTCTTCATACACTTCGGGGTTGATTTGATGTACTTCTCACTTGTCATTTAGGTATCTTGTGGTGGAACTCACTCGGTTGCATTGACACGTGATGGCCGAATGTTTTCAGTAAGTATACTTCACATTTCCTACTAATGCAGTTTTTAGTTGAGTCCTGTTTAGTTTAGTTTCTCCCTTCTCCCATTCTATTCCTTGACCTCCATTACTTTATATATAGGATTGCATAATAACTTATAGTGGAAATAGATGAGAATTCTTGATATAGTATAATTAATTATTATTTTGTAACAATAACAATCTAGCCCATTTGTTATCTTAGAACTACAGAAATATTTCGAGAAAAAAAACTCATTTATGTTCTTGTTATTTCTCAGTCATGTGATTGACTTGTGATATAACTAGACCGAGAGTTGTTATAGAAGGATCAGGTAAGAGTTGTTGAAAAATAATGGACTCTATTATGGTTATATCATAACTCAAGGGCCCTTTTGTTATTTTCAGATAATTTCCGTGGGCCTTTCGTAATCTGCCCAAATTTTATGTCGATTCACTAATTGAATTTCATGATTCCTACCTACTCTTGATTAGTTACGAATCATTTGTCTATCTAAATTGAACATAGAATTAAAAAAATATTATTCAGTTCCAACTTGTGTCTTATTTCTATTACTATTTCATAGAAATTAATATTTTTAGCTGAATG